CAAGAAACTAGTCACCCAGTCTGTGTTGCGCAGCGCCTCGGGAGAGCTCATTTCTGATGCACGGGGAAAAATGTCCCGGTGGGTGAAACGCTTTAGTCTTCTTCTCAATCGCCCCCAAATCCAACTACCGTATGCGTCCTCCTCGCCATACGTAGCTAACTGCGCTCCACTACCAGTAGAAGAAGTTTCAGACATCATCAACCATCTCAAGCCGCAAAAATCTTCCGGCGAGGACAGGATACTCACCGAAATCTACGTAATGTGTTCTTCAGTCATTTTAAACCTCTCTCCAAAGCTTACTGTGCGCAATCTGTGAAACTGAAATTTTCCCACGTGGATTTTACTACCTTTCCCTAAAAAGCGTGACAATTCAGTGTGCGAAAACTATAGAGGTATCAGTTTACTCAACGTGGCGGACAAGGTTTTTGCACAACTTTTGCTGAACCGCTTTGTTGCAACAGGGTACGCGCGCACGCGACCTAACCAGAAGGGATTCCGCCCCGGTGTGGGCTGCATTGACCAAATAATCACTTTACGTTGACTCTTGGAGAATCGCCATAGGTTTCAGCGGGAATTCGGGATAAAAAATGTCTTTTTACTTCCTTTTTCTATTTATTGAACATACAAATGTACAGTCAACTTTCAGGAAGGGGCTGCGGCCATACAAAGGCTGCCTGGGGAAAATACAGATAAAGGGAAGACGGGTGCCGATGGAGCGGTTTGAACCCGGGACACCCAGGTCACTAGTTGTTGATCTAACCACTTGGCCACCACTGCCCATGAGGCCAGCTTATCCTGTCCCATAAGCCAGCTACCGTAAAGTAAAATTAAGTATAGGTCATCTGAAGATAGGCGGGGGGAATATGTGCTGGATAAAGATCAGCGGGGACCTAATTTAGCGAAGTCACTGTTCATTAAACAACTACTCAAGAGAAAACAACGCCTTTTGTTCAATCTCTGAAGCTAGTATGACAAAACGTACAAATTGAAATAGTTCGGCTAACAGTTTTTATCCCCGGTACCGAAAATCTTGTGAGCAGGTAAAATTGTTCCCCGATACATTCGTTGAAACTGCGGAGGATACATGGGGAAAGGTGGGAAATAACCAAGGAAAACTAGAAATAAACCAACATTTGACCGATCAGGATGTATAACCATATGAACGATTTATAGCCCCACATGTTCGCATTGGAATAAAGATCAAGCATGTAAAATTTCGACTCATAAGAAGGAAAGGAGATGTGCCTGTGGTACAGAGCGATTAACTTGATTGCGATCGATTTGCAGCTCCTTGGTTCATCACTCCAAACCCCAAGACTCAGATAGCCGGTGCCCAAAAATTGAAACTAGCAGCTTTCGTCTAGGCAGGTCAAGAAGAAACGAGAAAAGACAAAACAAGTGTTAACGACTCACGTGAGCATGCACAAGAAATGTATGCGTTCTTGAACGGTGAAGCTGTGAAACAATGCTGTCAACTGATCCTCGGTGACAGTAGACAGAATGTGCAGCACGCAAACAAACAACTCTCGCTGACATTTGTCTGTTAAACGACGCGGACCATTTATCTCTCCCGGGGGAAGACGGTGTTGATGGGGTTGATCTGGACTAGTAGATACCTCGGGGACGCGACCGTTTACTGGTTGGGATAGAACTGCGGTTCTGAACAAAATCAATCGATGAACGAGGGGAAAATCAAAACATATTTACTTCAATACGAAATGATACATATGCAAAATCAAGAATGCATGTATACACAAGTTTACAATTAGATAAGATTTGAAAAAGGACCAATTCTCAAACCAGTACCATCCCGGAAAGAGGACAGAAAAATGATGAAGCGTATATTACAAAGAATTCGCAACTTTAAGGTGACTTAGAGGGAATGCCGTGGTGGTTCCATCAGAAGAACGGTTCTAGTGAAAGGACATAAAATAAAACAATTGAATAATATCTTTCCACCTATTGCGAAGACCGGAGTACGGATTGATAATCATATAAAACGCACTGCTGCAAACGATGTCTATCGGACAAAACTTTCCGTGAATTTGGATACTTTAGACAAATCGATGTTGCACCTCAATTCGTATAGGGCACATGATGTCTTACGAAGGCTGGTCCGACGACAGAGGCGAAAAACTTTAGTCTCGGCAATGCGCATGTTCTGATTGCCAATCCGTAGTTTGGTTTTGATAATCTGTGAGCCGAAAAGATGTAGTGCACGGTTTCCGTGATCAGGTGTGACAGACAAACGAGCGATGCTAGGGTGTCTCAGTCCCCGTAACCAACTCCTCTTGTCCTGGGCTGCCAAAGTGTGTAACTAGTGCTCGTGAGCCTCAGCCTTAAAATGAATGGGACGGTGTTGAATAGATACATTTGTGATCGAACACAGTGCCCGTACCGCATTGAAGCCGACCAGCACTTTCTACTCAAAAGTGGTAAGATTTCATGGTTCACGACCAAAAAATGATCAACCGAATTTAACCAACAGGATAACAGATGCTATCCCATAACGAATACACGGCCAAAGAAACGAAGATAAAACGAACGCATACTCGAATATGACAAACAATTCAGATGCGAGCTAAAATGTTTTAGAACCGAAAATGTTTGAGGCGACTAAGCATTTCCTCTGTATTCTACTTACGAAGGACCTCCTGGAGACTTCAAAAGGACCGATTACTGAGTTCTTACTCAGCCGCGCGTGCCCCAACAAATAAATCGTGAGTAAGATGACCCACTGCACCACAATCCAACAAACACATCCGTTGAATGTTTCTTTACATACTGACTTGGAAAAAACTATTCAAGAAGATAAAATCATCGGCAATATAATTTTACTTTGGATCCTCCCGAGTAGAAAGTCAAATAAGTTATTGAAAATAATTAAAAGCGGTTGCTTTTCTTGCCCCACAGAGTTTCACGCACAAATGGATCGGTTTACGGTTCATAGAATGATGAGGAATGTCATAAATTTTCTTTCTTTCGTGTACTGATATGGATGTCGAAATTTCAGACATGCCAATGCTTCATTCAGTTTGTGCTTGAATCAATTGCGGGGGCAGAAACAATGTGAGTTGGTAGAGATTACTAAATACTACACACTCTGAAGGCGAATGAATGAAATCGGTATCCTAGTTGACAATTTTAGAGCACTAATTTGAATGAATGCCCCTGATGTGAGTGTTCGGGGACCACGCGAACCGTGAACAACAGGTGATCAGGGTTCTGCATTATTTGATACACCAAAATCAAGTCTCCTCGAATTCGGCGATATTGCGTTGAGTACACCCCGATGGTTCGGGTCTTTCCACTCAGGTCCTAGAATGTACTCCCTTCATCATCTTGTTGACCATTATTTACGGACGTTCCAGAATCTTACGATGGCGTTGCAGCCACGGGTTTCACGTGAGATGGGCGTAATCTATGTGGGGTCCAATGTAAGCTGACAATATGATTGGGAACACCATAGGGTCAAATTTGCCAAATACTCGCCTCAGCAAACCAACAGGTCTTGCAGCGGCGGAAGACTCCCTGAAGCAGTTGAAAGGACAACTTACCTCATCTTGAACAATGACACCGAGGCCCTCTTCATTCGAGGCACTCGGAAGTTGTTGATATCCTATAATATATGAAAACCGAGTTTTGTGGCAAAGGGATACGATCGTGGATTTCGATGCACTGCATTGGACGGACGATCGGAATATTTACCTTCGAATTAATTAGTGTGAGTGCAACAAAAGCTTTGTAATATCCTTGCGGAACTCAATTATTAGATCATGATGACCATATGCGATATTCGACAATAGCAATGGACGTGAAGTAAATGTGAAACGAAGTCTATCGGAACCTATTATGGCAAACGTTACTTTATGATTGTGAGCAGTATCATGAGATCGGCTGGGATACAGATCCACCTTATTATTTTATCTCCTCCCGCTCCTTCCAAGAGTTGATCATTCAAATGTTACAGAGTGACAGTGGGGTAATTTAGGAGAGTTCAACTGGGCCTGGGGACGAGATTGATGACAAAATGGTATAACGACCAAGGGTCAATCGTGCGAAGAAAACAAAATGTAGAAGTTGGATACAATTCGACAATCATAAAGGTTCAAATATCAATAAAGTGACCAAAAAATCTACACTCGTACGCATTCACCCGGTTGTTATCAGTTAACCATCGAACTGAGAGTTGAAGCGATTGGTTTCAAAGATTCCGACATACGGAACCAGTTTAGAAAAGTGAGCAACTAACCGGGGGTCATTTTGATCGGACGAACGTCCGATCGATGCTGGAGGTAAACCTGGTGGTGGAGCTTGCGCGGACATACTGGGAAGAGGAGGCCGACGTTGAGGGGACTTAGAAAACACACCAGCCAGGGATAGGACCTGATTGGCCCAGTCTTGACCGGAATCAAGACCTAGAATAAATGCAAATAGCACAAGGGAGAACAGTAATCATGAGGAGATGCAAAATTATTCGGTGCTCATTAGTGATAACAATAATGTGAGCGTATATTGAGTGTGGTCAACACGGAGTGTCGGATTTAACCACTAAGTGGAATTTGTTAGGTCCGAAAAAAGTAACGCTGCTCTCATCTTGGGTTGTCACTGAAAGAGACGGATAACATAAGGATCTCGTGCAAAAAATGTGATTTTGTTCAAGCCCGTGGGAACTCAGACTACTAAAAAAGATAGTCCAGTGAGGCATTTTTTGAATGCGTTATTCGTATGCAGACGGCCGCAGGCAATACAAAACAGACAACAAGTGCTAATTTCGGCAGAAGAAACAAATGGAAGTTTTCTCAAATTCTGGAATGCCACTACGAGTGAGGGACATGTTCTCACGTACACAGAATGACTTCAAACAACGTCATCAATGCTACTTATTCTTTACTTTTACTGGACACGAAGTTGATGCATGCCGTTTGACTGATAGCGCCAAGTCACTCTGTCTCTCACTGAGCGTCGTAATAAAATTTATAGCAATAATTCAACATGCCCGCTCGCCAATTAGACACACGTGTTTCGCTGCTGCTGATTTGTGCAAGGGGGGGGGGCGTGAGTTACTAACTAGTCAGAAAACGAAGGCGCGCCGTCCGGATGACAGCCTTTAGTCCCTTAATGCCAGCAACACCGATCATCTGAGCGGGGACCAAAGTAAGGTGGTAAATCCAACTTTCCTTAAGAGTTCACACATCCACCTGATTGACCGAAATGTAAACTCATTTGCAGAATTCATGCCAATACAACACAATACACATGATTTGAATGGCTCATCGATTGCAGTCTGCAGGTGGATTGATCTCTCTCAATGACTTAAATTCAGAAGTTCACTGAGCATTCTCCGTGCTGTAAATAACTGCAGCTATCCAAAGGCTTGAATACAACACATCAACTCTCGTTACCACTGGAATGTCAACACAGGGTCAAATAATCCGACGATGTCGTTTCATTGGTTTTCATTCAGCTAGTACCACCGAACAACGAATAACTCTATGGACTAATGTACACAATACAAAAATTACCGCGTGTAATCCGTTAGAAACAACGTTAAAGGGTACATCACAAAAAGATCATGTATCAATTTGAGTTTTCGTAAACATAGTAACGGATGATAGATATTCTGGTGTCTGATTTTGCTATCCTTTTTCATTTTTACTTTTTTTTATTGAATACACAATGATACAATTTTCAAGAGGCAAACCTATGCCTACCATCATAGACCAACTGTCTCTCTGATGAAGAGATTATTCAGCAGGAGTGAGGAAAAACGTAACNAAAACTTGATCTACGTTTTAATCATGAAACTTACTGATCAACGTGCAGCTTTCTGTTTACATACGAGTCTTGTGGAGCTTGCCCATTTCTTATACAATTATGTTTTATTGTCGTCCCAATCTGTTCATGCGGCCAGCGTTCCAACATATCCCATTCCACATATGAACAACCATACACACACAACAGAGAGAGAATAATAATAATAATAAATAACCGGTTCTATCCCTAATGGTTTCATTTGGCGTGTCAGGACTGTTAGTGTGTACTGTTTAATGCTATTTGAGCATCAATCATCCCGCCCGCCCCCTTCCCCAAATAAACTATCTGCAAAGTTTACGCCCAGTATCACCCGTGTAAATTAGTCTGTTCGATGCTTAGGCGCGGAATGCCAACGCCTGCAAGGAAACATGAGGATTACCTATCTCAGAACGGTTGTGGAGTGCGAAGAGAAGGATTACACGTAACTTTGGTCCGAAAATGATAGCGAGGCATATAATCAGCGATGCTCAGGCAACCGAGCTTAGTGGATGGATGATTGTACAAACGACAACAAAACGAGTACATCTGACCTGAGTAATAACGAGGACGGACACAAAAATACATAGAGTAATCCAACGAATTCTGTGGCCGTTGTGTAAAGAATTACTTTGTAATCATATTCGAGTTCAAGCCACAGAAGTGATAGGAAGAATGTCGTAAACCAAATGACGGAAAGCCATGCGGCGGAGAAGATGTGCGGATACACAGCTGAAATTGAATGTTGGGCGAAATTTCGTTTCACAGAGCGAGAATCCTATCAAATGGTAAAGGATACATACTGTTGCAATACGAACCTCTATAAGCAAAATAAGACCGTTAGGGTAAACTAGCTTCCTTTCTACGTCCACAGGAGAGAGCCACCTTTTTTCGGACAAAAAATTATTATTCACAGAGAGGATTTAACCTTAGGGACTACCAAAACACTGCAGATGCTGTTCGCCTCCTTTTGAAAATTCAAGCTTTTGATAGTATGGTAATTTCAGTAGTCCCAGAGCATGCATCCCCCGCGATTACTGAAATGAGTCCGTCTGCTCTTCGCCATTACACTCACCATCATGAGAATCGTCGACCATGCGAATACTGCTATTCTCCTCATGTCTACGGTGCTCTCGCAGACGAGTGATTGGATTAATTTGAATCGAGGCAGCACAGTTTTCATCGTCTATATCAGAATCCCCGTCCAAATCAAGCGATCGATCATCCGGAACGTCTGCTGTCAGAAGTGAATTGACCTCATCCTCCTCGCCAGATCCCAAACCGGTCAACGTGGCTGTACTACCCGAGTGACTGGACGGGGCATTTGGCAGTCCAGGACATGCGGAAGCGGAGGAGTCGTAAGAGGATCGCGTAGATGAAATGCGTGCGGGATTGTTATTCGAAGTACTACCGTTACGGAAGCGTCGAAGTTGTGCACGCCGTAGTGGACCACCTTCAGTGGAGACATGAAAAAAACATAACTCTTATTTGCACATTTTTTTGAATAACAGGAAGAGAAGAAAAAAGACCGACGCTCGTACATTCAAATGAATAGGTGCTACACATATTGCAGTATTAACTTGAGTTTGACGAAGAAAATCATCACAGTTGAACTAACGACAACGCTCAAAGCTGAAAACTCATAAAATGATAAAACTCATTGTTTCGGCAATTTGAAGTTGATGTAACTTCATTAACTTTTGCTATGCTGAATACAGCGATGATACCTTGTCAACTTTAGGATGTGAAAGTATTGTGTCTTGAAAAATAGAATAAGCTACGTGATTGGAAAAACTGATATCGACATGCATTAGCACGAACGACTGTTTTTATCTAGAATAAACCCATAGTCATAGTGTTTTGTTTTTATCTAAATGAAAGATCGTTTAATATGTAAAACAGTTGCTAAGCGGCGTTCACTAAAACACAACACAGAAAATCCAAGTTATAAGAGAACTGACCGGCATTCAGTCCAGCAATTTGGTCTAAAATGTGTTTTTCCACCTTGCCTTCCTCGGTCAGATAAGCGGACGAGTGAGTGCTTGAACTAGATTGGGACGAACTGCCACCAAGCGATGAAGAACCACCCAATCCGAGTCCTTCACTACCACCAGCACCACTACTCCCATTAGACAGAGACACCGATGACAGGGAGTCGGACTGTGGTCCTGAATGATGACTNGACTGGCATTTGCAGCTAGCGTTTCCAGGGATAGGTCACTTAAGACACTTCGTGGTCTGGACGCCGGAGCTCCGGTAGTTCCCGTTGTAGATGTTGCGGTACCCCGTTTGCGTCGACGCACATCCCCGACAGAGCTCGCACTCTCACCAAATTCACCTCTAGCTGCGGCCGCAATTACAGCAGCCTGCAGAGCACCACCTATTCAAGTGAATTCGAGATGGAAGAGGAAAAGAATAATAAAGCATTTTGTCAGCAACACTTACCATTGCGGAAAAACGATTAGTTGAAAATGGTACTTAGTTACATAACTCGGTCAAGAGCACAGGTCGAGTTATTTGAAAGCGGTACATTCAGTATCGGTAGTTTGGATGTACGAGAATAGTACGAACCACAGAAGTGATCAACTGTCAACAAGATATGGTGGCAAGGAGCATGCAATACCCTGTGTTCTTCCAAAGAACAGACTGTCCAAGAAGACAGCTGTGAAACTTAACACTAGAGATTCCCCACGTTCTTTGGTGGAACGTCGAATATCTCGCAGACACTGAAAGTCGGAGAGTTATTGTGCGTTACCGGTAAGACCATAAGACAGGCACAGTGAATATCACAGGTCCGCTTTTCTGGCTCAGGATATGGCTATATCATAGTGCATTCATTACCAAAGACCTGCCACATGGATTTGTTCTTGCTGTAACCATCGGGCTCAAAAAAACACTAATCACCTTTAGCATCGTGATGGTAAGCTTCAGAAGTAACCAAGTAAATGACGGTTACTACCATATACGCCCCAAAATTCCCGGTCGACTTCCCTTTCAAATAAGAATTCTACTAACAGACATAACTTATCGCCAACTGCACTCCTAAAAGCAACATTCTTCTTAATACAGGGCATTGAAACACTCGCAGTTAGGCCATCAACGCCAGAGTGGTGAAAGTTTATTAACTTTTTCCGACACTAGATGGTTAATCGCTTACAAGGCACGCTTTAAACACCACAGACAACATTTGATCACGCAGTATTCAAATGACGGGAGAATAGCATATCAAGTAGACTACATTCTATTGTGATCCCGACAGGTTCTCACACCCGAAAACAGTTGAGTTTATGGCAGTATAGGAATTGGGAATGCCCAAGCAACATCTGAAAAATCCTTGTCTTGCGAACAGAAAAGATACCGCTGGTCTAGAAAATCAGGGGAGAGGACATATTCTGTCAAACACCGTGGCTAACAAGCTTCCGGCGGATTTGCAAGCCATCGATAGGGTAATTGACGATTGCGGGAGGGACCACGGAAGTCGCGCTAGAAAACCTAGTGAAGGCGGAAAGCATTCATTTCCTGACAAATCGTGCTAGTTATCTGATCAAGCAAGAGAAGAGCAGCTCAGAAACTCGCCTGAAGACCGAAACCTCCGAAGGGGAGTCGCAGATTTAGAAAAACGAAGATTGGAAAAGGGATGGGTTGGGAATGAAAGACAATGAAGGCCACCGCAGGCGTCGGATATTTCACAAAGCTCTTCCGCATCGCTCGTGCAAACTTCGGACAAGAAATTTTTAATCGCTGTCCAGTGCTTCCCGGCTTCTTAGCTCACG